CAAAAACAATACTCACATTTAATCAACTTTCCCTTACGGGGAATTGAGAACAAAAACCATCTAATCCCGGACTTCCTATCTTCCATTCCCAATGCTTATTTAACATATTCCAGCTTCACTGTCCTCATGTGTCTTCCTAAAATTCTGAACCACTTGCTAACAGAGGACCTCAGTTATGCTGTACCATATTTTGCACCATTTAACCCTCTTACCCATTAGTCTCCTTTTAACTCTTTTGATAAGTCCTCAGTGGGTGGAAAGGAAGGGGAAAGCAACTGTTCGACACCTGCCTAAACACTATGGCTGGAATTTTATAGTCACAAGTTCATAGGTACAAAATGGTCCTAAATTAGCCACTAAATAATCAGAACAGGGTTCAAGTAAATCCACATTGCCAAGCCATCAGTTTCTATAACACAATCAGATTCCTTACATTGAATAGGGTGAGAAACCTGGGTGTCCTGCTGCACAGGATTATATTTTATTGTAGGTTGAACCGGTCTAACGAAGGTGGAGGAGCTATTTTGGATAGACAGCCCCTCTTGCAGTAAATCAGCCAGTTCATATTGCTTGCTTTCTTTCAGACTTTCGAAAAAAGCATGAAATGCTCCTGACCCACGAGTCTGCAGATCAGTTATCAACTGACGGGCTTGGTCCCTGCGCGTGCCTGAATTCTGCAGTCAAAGAAAATTCAGTCAACTGCATGTTGATAATCATCATTTAAATACATTAATTTCCAACCTAATCAGTATTCATATACAGTCACAATGTTAGCTAGCATTTCGTTTATTCAAATGGCAAATGTTCCAAAATAATACTAAAAACCAAAGACAAAAATAGAAATCGCTGAGAAAGCTCAGCAGGTCTAGCAGCATCTGTGGAGAGAAATCGGAGTTAAAATGTTTCAAGTCGAGTGACCCTAAAAACCAAAAGACAAATTTCAGCCAAAAATAGGATAGGGAAATCTTCAGCACGTATACAGCAACATTATTGCAAACAATGTAAACGTTCAAATACTGCTATTCCTATCTTAAACTGTGCTGATTAGGTCTTAAACATGATGCTTTGAAATTCCCTCACTCTCCCTTTTCAGACATCTCCTGTCTCAATGCTGTCCCCACCCTCGAACATTCATTTATAACTGTGGACAACTGATTCACTCTTTCCCCAAGTATAACTGCCATATCTTATTATTATGTTATTATTTACCAACAACACAAAGTAGAGGTTATAAACTAGACCTTTGGAGAAGTTGCTTCAGCTCAGTCCAACAACGTTCATTGTATTTCCCCAATAAAACAGGTGAACACTTAGGTTCTGGAGAAGTATAAATATGATTTGGAACCTATTTAAACATGTAGAGCTAGATTTATTTTAAATCCTTGAACCCAGTGCATTATCAAAGATAGGGCCAAAACACAAAAGGATTATAAAATTGTGTCAGCATTTAATAGCCTGTCTTCTATTAGGGAAACAATTGTAAGAGATATGCAAAGGGAATGAATGGCAGTCCCACAGACAAAAGAAAGCAGATTTGTTTAAGACTTACGTATAAAGTAATTTAATATAGACAAGAGATCATGAAAGAAACAGGCAGACAAAAAGTAGCAAAACACTTTATTCAAACTGACCTAATTTTCTTAAACGTTTGTTGCACATTACCATTTGCAATGCTTAATGTGTGATTAACCTCAGATGCAATCATGCTGAACATTAAATAGGAATATAAATTAATACAGAAGATCCAAATAAGAACGTAACTAACTGTTTGAATTGCGCAGCTGTATATCAAAACATAAACAGATCTTAAAGTAACCCTGCTATTGAAGTTTACACAACTGACTGGGATTTGTTACACTTACTGCATATTATCTACAAATTTAATTAAACTGCGAATGTAGATAATACATAATATGTGCCTCCTGCTGACATGCTGAGGTTCCACAGATGATTGCAGATACCTCATCCTGAGTCCAAGGACCCCAGACATAGACAAGGACATTCGACTATGTGCAGCCTCACAGTCGAGTTCAAGTTCTCACCGAAACAGCAACTATCCTGCCTTCCCATCGAAATTTGCAGCAGTTGACCGGGAGAAGAAGGCTTTTCTTAAAAGAAAAAGCGAGAGAGAGAAAACCTATCTGTCTGGATCTTTTGTTCGGACTGTGCCTGACCCGGACTCCCTCTCACACCTTAACTTCCTCTATCATGTCATCGGTGAAAATGCCTTTCTCCGTCAGAAAGTCGTAAAGGAGCTCGGGCTGCAGTTTTTTCACCAGCTGTACGCGGTTCCTCTGCAGCAGGTTTCTGTGATGCTGGTTCATCTTTTTTTCAGTCAGAAAGTCCCCCACAGGCGTGAGGAGGACCCGAACTGGAAACTATCAGACCCTGACCTTCAGCAAATGGCAGCCAGATAGTTCCGGGTGTGGTGGAGGCAATCTCCCAGCTAAACCAGACTATTCAAAGGACAAATGGGAATGACATGAGTGATAAATAATATTGACCTACTTAAAAAAAAACATGTAAAGTACTTGCCATTTAGAAAATAACTCTGAATGTAGACACTTGATAGAGTTCATACTTACAATTTGAAAAATAACTTAATTAATATAACCACTTGACAGAGGTCATTCCTTTATTTTTGACCATTTGTCTCTTTAGTTTGCAGTGCCTGGTACTGTACGGTTTAAGAATGTCTGCTATTTTGAGGGTCATGTGCTAATTTCTTTCCCCAGCTGTATGCCCAAAACCAGCAGAATCCGGTATTCCTGACCTGTGGGTACAACCAGCCTAATTTTAGGAAATCTATCTCACCCCACATAGTTTTCATTGAATCAGTGGATTATTATGCTGCAGGAAAAGGCTAATCGTGTCTGCATCAGTTCTGTGACCTAGTGCCAATAATCTCCTGCCTTTTTCCCATATCCCTGCACACCATTTCTATCCAATTAATTATGCTATGCCCTCTTGAATGTCTCAATTGAACCTGATGTTTGTAAATTATTGGATTCCAAATACAACATTGCTCCTATCTGTTTGATGTGTTAATTGTGATGTACTTCACTCTGCATTAAGAACTACCTTCTGATATCAATCCTAAAAAAAAATTTGCATAGCTCATAGCCAATTTTGTACTTTTGACATGCAGTCACTGTTATAATATAGAAAATGTGGCAGCGTGTTTTTACCTAGCAAGCTCCCAGAAACAGCAATGTGTTGATACCAGCTTTTTTTGTGTGTGATGTAGATTGAGGGATACTTTGGTGAAGACATCACCCACACGTCTTTGAAATAGTGCTATGGGCTATTTTATGCCCACCTGAGAGCACAGATGGTGCTTTTCTTTAACAATTTATTTGAAAAACAATTCCAATATTTCCCATTGTTGGGCCCAGTTGTCTCTTACATTATGCCAGGGTTTGTTTCCAGCAGGCAGACCATTGCAAAAGTTGATCTAGTTCTGCCTGATACCTCCTAATAAAAGTCCTAAACTTACCTTATATTAGTTGGAGTCTGTGTCTCCTTATCCTCTGACTATGGTTTAAAGTTATGTCATGTATTAATCTTTCCCATACCATTTACTATCTTATACATGGTGATTATAAAGTCTTTGTGCAACTTTATAGCTTTGGATGTATGGTATGAGAGGAGAACAGCATTCAGAAATGTAATTTTGAGTGTTAATTTTTGTTAAGTATGTTGAAAATGATTAAAACATTGAAAATGGGCAATAATTCTAATCTCTGTGCAGTAACTTACTGTGGTCTGGATTCATTTTATTTATGTTTTCGTTTCACTCACATTTTTTAATTTTGGAGCTGCCTGATCCTTTTACCAACTTGTACAGAGGTTCTGAATCCAAATCATTAATCCAACTTAGAAAACATGCTGATTCCAACATAGGGTTCCAGGGCACATTACCAGTACTTACCTTACACCCTAGATATTATGCCACAAACATTATGCTCTTGGCTAATTTTTTTCTCTGTACACAAGTTTTCTCTGATTTGCCTGAGTTTAGAGCTTAATTAATACTCATTCATGTGGATTTCTATCAAATGTGTTTAGAAACGTGAAGTTCACCCAAAGAAGGTATGTCATAATTTCAGAAAAATAAATTAATCAGGCAGGGATTCTTCATCTGAGTCTACTAAAACTGATTAGAGTTTTTCTACAAATAAACCTCAATTTTATTACTAATAATTAATTCATTTTCATGGAATAATAGAATAATGTTTATTACCAGCACTACTACTTTATTCTGGCTTCTTGTGCATCTCATTTCCTTCAATTACTGATCATGCTCTAGAATATCCTTTCTGAAATCCTATCTCTTATTTAGCAGCCTCTTTAAATCTGTGAACAAGCTTTTGGTCACTCCCAATATCCCTTTCTTTGCTTGACTGTGCACCCCATCTATTCAGCTATACATTAAAAAAAACTTGCTGTAGGGTTTTCTTTTGTAATTCTCCTTTCTAGGTTTATGCATTAGATGTGTTTTTGTACCACCTCAAACATAAATCAACTATATAAACTTTGTACAAATTTGTTGGTGAAATTTTTGGCTTAATATGTGTCTGATTTTGAACCTGACGAGCAATTACTAAATATATTTTAAAAGCCAAATTCTTAATATATTTTTACTGCAGTATACCTTATAATGCAGACACTTTATCCGTGTAGAAAAAATGGTGAATTAAATCATAGCACATCCTCTCCTGCTACATATTTGGCCTTAAAAGGAAAGCGGAACCCACGATCATGGTATGGTTCTCGGGGGACCTCTTCCAGTGTTGCAGGAGGGTTACTGACAAGTTGGCTGGTGCTGATTGGTTAATTTGGAAAATTGGCGGCGGTTGATATTTACTTTTGAAGGATTTTTACATGTAAAAAATTCTCGGACTATAAATCGAAAAATAAGTCAGAAGTTCAATAATGATGATAATAATAAAGAAGGGGAGAGTATGAGGGGAGGAGAGTGACTGGACTGTGGGTGCGGGGGGTGTAGTTTCCGCTTCCGCTCTCTGTGCCGCAACGGTCATGGCGGTCGGTCAGAGGCAGAACCGACTGGGGATGCAGCAGGTTTTAGGGGCTTTTGTTCTCCTGCTTGTCTCGCTCTTTTCTGTGGCAGAGGGGACCGGGCGAACGCTCGTGCTTCTGGAGAACATCAACATGAAGGAGACGCACTCTATGTTCTTCAAGAGCCTGGCAGGTGGGAGCTGGCTGCAGATGAGAGAGTGACTTGTTCTCGGTGTTTGGCTGCACAAAGTGAAGGTGGCGTGTAAGATCTTGAAGAGATTGCGGGAGGAAAAGAACAAGCGGAATAAATCGCGTTTAGAAATTCGAGCAGAAAACGACTTTATTCCATATCGTTATAAGACTAGAGGACATAAGAGCAGAAGTAGCCCATTGAGTCTGTCTGTCTCTCTGTCATTGAATGAGATCATGGCTGATTTTATAAACCTCAACTCCACTTCTATAACATAAGACCGTAATATCATAAATAGTGCGACGTTCGCCCCTTCAAGCCTGCATGTACGATCTTTCTTAGGCTGCAATTCCTCTATTTTTTTAATAATAAAACTGCCTCATCCACAAACCAGTGGTTGCTGTATAAACATCTGTATTTCTCAGCCTTGGATATGCTCAACGATCAAGCCTTAACAGCCCTCACAGATTCATTAAACTAAGGGAGAAGATATTCTCTTCATCCCTGTCTTAAATGGGCTATTCCATGCTTTGAGATTATGCCGTCAGTTCCTAGACTCTCCCATTAGGGGAAACGACCCCTCACCATCTACTCTTTTCAGGCCTCCTCCTCTCCTCCGCAGCCATAGTATGTTTCAATAAAGTCTCTTATTCGTCTAAATGACAATCTGTACACTCCCATCCTTCCAGGAAAATCCCTTCATGTCTGGAATAACCTAGTGAATCTTCACCGACTGCCTTCAATACCAATATAACTTTCCTTAGTGTTCAGCACTGTCCACTGTATTCCAAGTGTAGTTTGGCTCGTGCCTTGTATAGTTTTAGTTTATTTTTATGCTCCATTTCACTTGAAATGAAGGCCAACGCTTCACTGTTATCTACTGAACTTGAATACTATCTTTTTGTGATTTCATACTAGAACTGCTAAATTCTTCTTTACCGTAGCTTTCTACAGACTCTCCATTTAAATAATATTCAGCTTTTCTAGTCCTGACGAAGTTCATGACCTCACATTTTTCCCAAGCCATATTTCATCTGAGATTTTTAATTCACTCTCTTAACCTACCTATGTCATTCATAAGACTCTTTATGTTATTGTCATTACTTGCACTCCCACTTATTTTTATATCATCTGCAAAACTGGTGATAGTGTGTTAATTTGCAATGTTAATATATATTGTAAATAATTGCAGCTGGATCATCATGGTTAAATACTTACCTCCTGTGCCCTAAACTTTGCAGTCATGTAATAATATCCTGAGAGAGATTAAAAAGACATAGAGCCAATGAAGGGGAAACAGCTGTGCAAAATTCCTCTCTGACAACTCCACTTCTCTCCCATCTCCTCTCTCTTCCCCTTCCCTATAAAGGAAGTTGAGACCAAATGGACGAATGTTTGCCTTTTGTGATATTTTTCTATATGGTGCAACCTATATTCTTGTCAGATATTAGTTTTATTTCTTCCTGAATGCTCTCAAGAGAGTCACCACCACTACATCAGCTGGCAACATGGGTGATTATGGGTTACCACTGGTTACCTTCAGCACCAGAGGTCTTGGAGTCCAGGGAGCAAGAATTGGATGGATAGCTGATACAATCCCAAGTTGGTATCAGAGATAGACTAGAATACAGAGAGTTTGTAATGATCACAATTGAGGCAACAAATAACCCTAAAAGAACAACCTTCTCTGCACCGTCAGGAGAATTAGTACCAATGCCACTTAATGATATGTCCTGCAGTCATAATCACTGTCTTTCTGAATATTTCTAATCAGCTACTGTATCTATTAACCTGTGCCTTTCTTTTGACTTTTCCAATTAGATCTTGGATTTAACTTGACGTTCAAGATTTCAGATGATCCTGGTTTATCTCTGATCAAATATGGAGAATTTCTGTATGATCATCTTGTCATTTTTTCTCCATCAGTGGAAGGTAAACATGTCAGTTCTTTTGGAATAGATGTTTCACTTGGAAGTAACAATTTATTTTTGAATGCTTCTTGAGCATGCTTTCTCTGATCAAAGAAAATCACTGGTAAGTTGGGCAACCTGTGTGGAATGGAAGCCTGTATAGTGCACCTTTTCAGTGAGAAAATTTGGAGGATTTGTAGCATAATGTGAAATCCTCAGAATTCAGTGGCAGAAAATGTTTTTATTTCCTATCAACGTTCTCCTCTCTTCTCCTGACACCCCAGTGCCTGAGCAACGCCAACAAGGCACCGTTCAGCTGCGACAGAAGACTTTCCATATGCCAGGATGAATGCAGCTCCAACAACACTCAAGTTATCCCGGACAAAGTTGCATGTTTGATTGGCACATCTAATGCCTTAAGCATTCACTTCCTTCACCAGTGATGTACAGCGGAGTGGGCACCATCAACAGAATGCACTACAGTAACTCACCAAGGCTCCTTTGACAGCACCTTTCAAACCTGTGATCTTTACCACCTAGAGGAATAAGGGCAGCAGATGTATTTTCCCCTCCAAGCCAACACCGTCATGACTTAGAACTATATTACTGTTTATTCACTAACTGGGACAAAATCTTGGGCTTCCTCTTCTAACATGGTGTGAGTGTGCCTTCACTATCTGGATTGCAGCAATTGAAGATTGCAGATCACCACTGCCTCAAGGGCAATTGGGTATGCACTAAATGCTGCTTTAGCCAGAAATGCTCACTTCCCACAAATGAACTAGAAAGAAATGAGCTTGCTTTCTGCTGCCTGAAGTGCTGTTTGGCTAATGTAAGAGATTATGGAGCAGTCACTACACTCGGCATGTGTGTTTATTGTGCTCTATCAAGCAGCGAATGAGAACTTCTAAGAGAGTCATGTGCTGTGATTGTAACCCTAACACGACCCCCACATCCCCAAGAAAAGCACATTAGATTGATGGAGACTAAAGTATTGCCCTTCCCAGAGCCAGTATCTACACTGCTTGAGGACATGGAGGGGTGAGAAAAGAGATGCAGCAGGGATTAATGAAAATTCATTTTCTATTTCAGATTTTGGAGGCAATATCAACATTGACACTATTGCCACGTTCATTGATGGAGGTGGAAATGTACTGGTTGCTGCAAGCTCCGATATTGGTAATATTAAGGAATAATTATTACGTTTAAAGTGTAGTGTCTTTGGTAATATAAACAACATATCAAGCATTATTTTGTGCAATTTAATCTCAGATGCAAGTTTGTTCTTTCTTTATTATTTATAAAGCACATAAGTATTTAAAAATATTCCAAAGCAGTTTACAATAAATTAAGTAGTTGAAGTATTGTCACTGTTGTAATGTAGATACCGTGGTGGCCATTTTTTCCACAGCAGGGTCCTGTTAACATTACGAAGTAAATGGCCAATACTTTACTTTTATGATGTTGGTTGGGGGATAAATGTTGGCCAGGACACCAGTGAACTCAGCTACTTTTCAGCTATTGGGTGCAGATAGTGTAATCTTTCTGCAGTCACTTAAAGGAGAAGACAGAGCTTCAGTTTTAACATTTCAACCAAAATAAAATATTTCCAGTGCAGTACTTGCTCAATGCTGCATTTAAATGTCTTTTTATGTGAAGATTATGTGTGGAAGTCTGAAGTGGGGAGTGTACCCATATTTGTCTGACTCTGAAACAAGACTGACACGTCTGAAAAAGTTTTCGGAGATGTCTGTAGACCCATTGAATATGTTTGTTCTTTTGATCAAAATCTTCATTTTGCAAATTTTTAAGTTGTGATTTCTCAGAATTGCTCTGCTGTGAATTGGTGTTAAAGCTTGTTCTCTCTTAACTGGGGATAAACTTAGAGATGCAAACGATCTCTGTGTCATTAACCATTCCTAGAAGAATTTTCCACCTTCTGAGAGTATTGTTCCATGATTACGGTGGAAAATGATACTCCTACATTGTTCTTCCATCCTCTTCAGGTTGTGGATCTAGTGCCAGGTCTTTGCTTTCCTTTAGAACAGAAATGCAGATAACTGCAACAGGGATGATACTTGTTTCCATGTACGCAGATTTATGCCAGCCCTGGTCCTGTCGTGCCTTACACCACCTTTTGCTGGCCTATTACTCAGTAAGGAGAGATCTTTGTGAGCCAGTTGTAATTATTTGGAAAATGTTCTCACTTACCAGATTTCCAGGTTTTCTTGTTTAAAAGGGACATTTAATGCATTTGGAGTTTCATCGTTGGGAAATCTAGCCTTTTAAGGGGCTGATTGATACTATTCCTTGATCTGATCTGTATTTCGTAGATATGTGTGTGTTACTTATGTACATGTTGTTGTATCAGAAAGTACTTATCTTAAGATCATGCTAGATTGGTACTATTAAGGAACTGACCATTTCATTGCTTGTGTTGGTCTCAGGCCGAAAATAAATTTATCTATGCTGAAATCCACCACCGTTTAGGCTATACATTCAATTAGGGACATTTCTGCAAATGCTTTGAATTTCTCTCCTAGTTGTCATTTTCCCATGCCATTGTTGGGATTTCAACTTCAATTCTCATCATCATTGACACTTATCTGTATTCTATATGCCACTTTAAGCTTATTGTAAACCTTCAGTAAACAGTTTGTCTGACTCTGTAAAATCAATTGCTGCCCCTCAGAAAATTGAAGTTGAGTTTTTTTGTCTTCAAACTAGGCCTAAATTCCTAAACTCTCAAAATTACACACAAACCCGTCCCCTCTCTTTCACTCCACCCATCAACAGCAGAGTTAATTGCGAACCAATGCTGCATCATTTAAGAGCAATGGGTAGGGGTGAAGGAAGTCAATAGTTAGAACAGGAGAATGTTTACAAAGGTGAGTGATGTTGAATTTTCAGATCTGAGGGAGAAAATTTTTGAATGCACTTGGGATATGAGGTAAACACTTGGTGCAGAGTAAGTGTAGCTAAGAGATTCCGATATGCTCGAAGGTGATAAAAATTTAATTTTTATATCTTTATTTAAAGGGGACCCTTTACGTGAGTTGGGTAGTGAATGTGGGATTGAATTTGATGAGGAGAAAACGGCTGTTATTGACCATCATAACTACGATGTTTCTGATCCTGGCCAGGTAAGGATGTTGTTGGAGGGAGGGGTGAATCAAAAGTCATATCGACCCAATAATGGTCTATTCCTCCCCAGGCAACCTGATTAATATGAAAAGTCTTTGTAAAATGGTAACAGTTGAATAGTTATTGATTCTTACTTTGCTGCAACAACCCCATCAAAGTAAAATCTGATGCCGTAGATTTTAGGTGTTTTAACTTCACATTTGATTAATTTTGCTTGTTAAAGTGAAAAATATCCCTGAGAAATGGAACCCCTTTCTAATATTGTAATTTAGTGTGAGCATCAGGCTTTTCAGTCAGTTATGTGATTTGTTAACATTATGTAAATAAAGTGGTAAATTTGTTACAAACTGATTTCAAAAATTCTTGAGCAAAGTTGATTGATATATTCCTCCTTGTTTTCAAAGCACACACTGATCATTGCTGACAATGAACAACTGTTGAAGGCTCCCACTGTTGTGGGGAAACAGCCAAAGAATCCTCTTTTATTTCAGGGAGTTGGGTAAGTGCTAAAGTTTTTCTTGCTTTGTACAGCAAATCTATAGCAGAACAAAATCAAGTATTGGTCATAAAATACAGCTCAGTTGTGACATGCAGTTGTAGGCCTTTAGAGTACTTTTCACATATCGAAATCTGGCATTTTAAGAAAAATTGAATGAGAAACAAAAACATAAAATTGTTGGAAAAACTCAGGTCTGGCAGCAACTGTGGAGAGAAATCAGAGTTAACGTTTTGGGTTGGATGACCCTCGGAGTTCTGAGAAATGGCAATTGCTTTACAATGGCATATGTTATAAGTTCATAATAAGGTTTGGTGGCATATACGATTTAATACAAAAGCAACTGCTGATAGAGAAAGAGGTTGAAATGGCAACAAATTTGTTTGGGAATTATAAGGGTAAGGGAGGTTGGCAACATTCAAACACTGCAGTTAATTGGAATATCTTCTATACTGTTATTAACTGGAATTGATGAAATGTAACTAACATGGATAATTTCAAGGTTAGACATGTTGAAACTCGGAGAGAGAGTAAGCAATATCCTTGAGCAAAGATGGAAAAGGATGACTATCCCCAAAGCATTTTGTTTTTTAAACATAGCTACAAGGCTCATCAAATAATAGGATACATCTGAAGGGCATTTAATTATAACTTGGAACAAGTTGTTGTACCCTAGTCGATCTTGGTGATAAAGCTATGCTAATAAAGGCAACTGATCAAGAGTGGGATATTTTCTATTTGGCATATGTAAGAAATTTGGTAAGGTGTTTTATTAACTATTTTATAATACTTTATGTAAGATGGCAGACATGAACTCATGGCTTCCTTCTGTGCTAACAGGTGTCTAAAAAACTATTCCCATTAAACCTGCAAAGCAGCAAAAATTCTAAGGTGCTTCATTCACAGTAGAAGGTCAGGCAGGAGCAGGAAAGGAACTGAAGAAGTTGCCATAAAGCACAGAAATGGGAAAGTATGAGGAAAATTTAAGGGGTGTGGTAGAACAATGGTGAATTGTGGCAAAACAGATGGAGAATTTAGGGCATGTTTCAGTGTGCAGGAGAGAAAACTAAATGTCAACATAATAAAAATGATGTAGGCCAGAGGCATAAATAGTGAAGGCTTGTAGCATGGAGTTGAAGGAAATATAGTATAGGAACCAGTCAAGCCAGTAGACAGGGAGGTGATTTCATGCTCAGAGTTGTGAAACAAGTGTGAAATGTTAAGGTTAACATCTGTATTAACACAATATTTCAGTATATTTTGATAGATTTTTCTGTGCAGGCCAACTTTTTCATTTAACTGCAATTTAGTTAATGTATCTTTGAGTCTTTCAGGCCAAACCTCAATGTTTATTTTTGATTTGTCCTAGTATGGTGGCAGATCCTGATAACCCTCTTGTATTGGATATTTTGACTGGATCCTCTAGCTCTTACTCCTTCTTCCCAGACAAGCCTATAACACAGGTAACTCGCGTGTAATGTCCAGGTTCCCCTTCCTCTCCTAGGAATATATGGTGGGATACAGTTAATTTATTCATTCAATGGATATGGATATTGCTGACTAGGCCAGTATTAATTGCCCTTGAGAAAGCAATGGTACTAGTTTCTTGAAACTCTGCAGTCTGTGTGGTGTAGGTACACTCACAGTGCTGTAAAGGAGGGAATTCAAGGATTTTAAACCAAAGATGGTGAAGGAATGTCTGTTTAGTTGCAAGTTGGTATGATTTAAAGCTTGGAGGGGAACTTTCTAGCGGTGATATTCCCATGCAATGTTCCCAATGCCTTTGTCCTTTGTCGACATTGTGGGTCAAAGCTATTGTCGAAGAATTTGGAGCAGTGCATCTTTTAGATGGTGGACATGATGCCACTATGGTGGAGGGAATGAATGTGAAGATGTTAGATTGGGTGCCAGTCATGCATGCTGCTTTGTTTGAATAGCATTGAGCTTCTTGCATGTTAGAACTGCACTCATCTTGGTGAGTGGACAGTATTCCATGACATCCCACACTTGTCATATGAACAGGCTTTGAGGAGTCAGCCTCTATATAATAGTTCAATCTCTGTTTGAGATGGTCATTGTGCTTGTGTGACACGAATAGGATCTGCCACTTATCAGTCCAAGCCTGGATGTTGTCTGGGTCTAGGTGTCTTTGGACACAAACTACTTCAGTATCTGAAGAATCATGAATGATACTGAATGTTGTGGAATCATCAGCAAACATCTGCACCTCTAACCTTATGGTGGGGAGAAAGTGGTGAAACAATTCAACATGCTTGGGCCCAGAACATGACCCTGATGAATTCTGCACTGATATATTATGGCTGAGATGATTGATCTCCACAACTACAGCCATCTTTCTTTAGGCTAGATTTGACTCCAGTCAGTGGGGAATTTCTCCCTAATTTCTGTTTTCTCCAGTTTTGCTGGCTATCCTTGATCAAAGTTGGTTGAAAACTGCTTTGGTGTCAAGCGCTGTCATCCTCCGCTTCCCTTGACTCTTATGTCAACGCTTGGACTGAGGCTGTAGAGAGGTCAGCAATTGAGTGGGCCTGGCAGAAAGCAAACTGATTGTCACTGTGCAGGTTATTGTTGAATAAGTGCTGTCTCATAGCATTGTCAATGATACCTTTTGTCACTGATGATTGAGACTATACAGATGGAGGAGTAATTGTCTGGGCTGGATTTGGCTTTCAGGACAAATTTCAGAGGCAACTTCTGGTTCTGTACTCAAAGACCATTTTTTGTTTGAGCCTTGACAGTACATATCAACAGTTTGATCATGGAATCACAAACCAGTTCAATCCTAGCAACACCTGATAAGTGACATGTTGGAATGTTCATTAGGTAAAGTATAAGAGCATAAGTTATTGCATTCATCCCTTCCCCAATTTAAGCAGGTGAGCTGTGAATTCCCCAACTAATCCCTTATCTCAAACCAGATACTCAGCATGGACTGCAGATTGAATGAGACTGTCTGTCCGGTTCAGTCTACCTTTTTCAGTTTAGTTTTTGCCAATTGAGCACTTGAGAGGATCCCAAGAAATTTTAGTCTTTTCATTTTGTTGTACACTTCCTGCAGCATTTAACCGGCTATTTACTGCATTTGTATGTACATCTACAAGTACATGTTTTCAGTAGTGGGTAGTTTCACAGCTACACGCTTCTCATCGAGCTTGAATGAAAGTGATGACCATGCTTTGTGTAACATGTTATGTTGTGTGGATATTGGATGCTTAAGGAGTACATCATAATACATAGTGTACATATACACATATTGGGCAGTCTTGTGTGTGTATATATACTGTAGATTCTATGGGGTATACACTGGCCCCTCTCTGCTTGTACGGCTTCTGACTGCTCTTCATTTGAGTATCTTTTCAATTAAAACTAGTGTATGGTATTTGGAAACTAAACATGTTTCAAATATTACTGCATGTGGTACATGCCAACCAATCATTCATCACAGATAGATAAATAATATATAAAGTAGACATGAAATAGATAATCAGATTTGTGACAAACTTGTGGATTTTTCTCAATCTAATAGTACCCACATGGTGTGGGGAAGAACACCTTACTGATTGCTGGACTCCAGGCCCGGAACAATGCTCGTGTGGTCTTCAGTGGTTCTATTGATTTCTTCAGCGATGCCTTCTTTAACTCTCCTGTACAAAAGGCTACTCCAGGAGCTGAAAGGTAAGACCAGATGTTGAAGACCAAAGTTTCTTTGAAAAATAAGATTTTCATCTGTAGCCTAGATTGCTACCTGATGGTTGTCATCACATTGTCAGAAAAGATTAATCATTTAAAACCAGTTTTTGATTGTTTAGACAATGTAGGCAACGTTGCCCTTATTGTCCCCAAGAAAGTGATTTTGAACCGTTGCCATTTCTGTGCTTTCTCAATAGTTCTGGGTAGGGAATACCAGGATTCTGAACTTTTGGCAATGAAACAGTAATTTATTCCTGAGATGGATGAACACGTGGAGCTGATAGTATTCCCAAAATATATCTGCTGCTCCTAATATTGGTTACGGATTTGTGCAGTGCAGCTGAAGTATGCCTGACAACTTACTGCACTAGATCCTCCAGATAGTACATTCCACAACTTAATGAAATTGCGGATGTACCAAACTCTGAGCAGGGTGTTTATTCCATCACATTTCTAACTTGAACATTGTGGATAATGAAGAGGCTTTGAGGGGTCAGATTTTGAAAGAAACAATTTGCAGAGTACCCCGCCTCTGACCTGTTGTAGTTATGTTGTTGAAGTGCAAGACCAATCCAGCTTCTGATGTGTAGTGAATCCCAGGATATTGTTGGACGGAACCACCAATAGTATCTTTAAGGGTGATGGGGAACTGGCCGAGATTTCTGATGATTGCATTTGCCGGGCCAAGTCCAAATGGCACGAGCTTTATTATTAGATGTCAAGAATCAGCTTCATCTTAAAATTCTCATCCCTGTTTAAAAATTCTTCCATTGCCTCTCCCTTCCCTACCTCTGCAATCTACTGCACTCCTAAATTCCACCAACATTTTTATTCATCCTCTAATTATGATCTCTTGTGTTTTCCTCAGCTTAATCGCTGTATTATTGGTGACCATCATTTGCTTGGGCTCCTAACTCTGGAATACTGTCGCTACATCTCCCTGCCCCTCAGTCATTTTCCTACTTTTTAAGACATTCCTTAAAATCTATCATTTTGGCGAAACTTTCGGTCATCTTATCTGTTTTTTAAATGTGGTTTGGTGTACTGTTTTGTTTATAAAGTTCTTGTGAAGGACAATGGGCCAGTTCATTATGTTGAAGGGGCTAGTTGTTAGTTGTTAAAGAAAAATATCATTTCAATGTATTGTGGTATGGCCAACAAATTAATATTTTGCAACAGGAAACCACTTAATCAGTTGTAATGAATATTTGTTTTGCGCTGAGATTCTTGGAATCGTGCGGCTGGATTCTTGATCTGAGTGAGCATGTTTTAACAGCAGGATGACTTTTATTCTAATTTCACACGATAGTTCTTCTTTTGTACTAAAACTTCTGCCTTCTGATTAGTCAATATCCAGAGACTTCAATTCGCCACTCCTTTCAGTTAAAACGTGACTGTAGGAATATGAAATTTTGTAAGTTTCATCTATGAACCTAAGGGTTTATTCAGATAGAAGCAGTTGTGCCCTTGATATGCTGAATGATCAGTCTGATGTGTACTGTCATTCAACACGTATAAATTTCTTCTCTGGGAGTAGCCACATTTTGATAATCTTTGAAATTCCGGAGCTGAAATTGAGAATACAGAGTTTTGAAACATAGAAACTAGGGCAGGAGTAGGCCATTTAGCTTTTCAAGCCTGCCCCACTGTGTAATATGATCATGACTGATCTTCTACCTCAATGCCATATTCTCATTTTCTATCATACCCTATGATTCCTTCATTATCTAAAAATGTGTCAGTCTCGTTCTTGAATATACTGTGACCTGGCTTATACGGCTTTTAGTGGTAACGATCACCCTCTGAGTGAACAAACGTTCCCTTGTGTCAATTCTTAATTGCACACTCTGTAACCTGAGACTGATCCTTGTCCAGATTCCCAGATCAGGGATAAATCCTCCCTGCATCTAATCTGTCCAGCTCTATCTCACTTTTATACAGTTCTATCAGATTTCCCCCCTCGTCCTTCTAAACACTAGTGAATACAGGTCTCGAGTTTATAGCTATAACATTGACTACCCCCCTTTTGGATCTAGCATTCACAATTATAATCTGTAATATTTGGACCAGGGTGTGCCGATCACTGCACTAACCATTCTAGGACGCCACCCTCCTGGATCTCAAATCTACAGTCGAAACCATGTTTTACGTGGTGCCTTTTTGTGAATTTGGCATGGGGTAAAGATTGTGCTCGAGTTTAATGTAATATGGACATCTTCTTGAATTTAGATTCTCAAAAACTGGGAATTATGAGCTAGCTGTGGCCCTGTCTCGCTGGGTATTCAAAGAGGAAGGAGTTCTCAGAGTTGGAGAGGTGTCCCACCACCCTGTTGGAGAAACCCAGCCACCAAATGCCTACACCATAACCGACCTAGTGGTAAGTATGAATGAAACTGAAATTAATTGCTACAGGGTTGTTTTTCAGTGGCTATTTCAAGTGATATTTTGGATTCAAATAGTATGGTGGGGTCTTAACAACCGAGGACCCCAAGATGCTTAATGTGGGAACTTGACTATGAAATGGGAAGAAATGGTGGAGATTACAATTAGAAGTGTGAGTGAAAAATTAAGCTTTGTGAAGACAGTAAGGAGAGATGAAGCAAAGCGCAAAAGGTTAGGTAAAGAATTTTGATGAGTAGAGTGTTTTGGCTACCTATGGTAGGAAACTGCATGTTAGAGCTCTCTCATAAGTGGAGAAGTTGACATTGCTGAAAGGGGTACAGAAATAGGGTAGAATGAAGTCATAAAATGGTTTGTAGACCAGGGCTTTTTGAGTCATTCTGCTGGGCAATAGATCCATACTTTCTCATTCTCCTCTGTGGACAAAAGGCCCCCACCTACATTTTAAAATTTTCTTTTTTCCCCAAGAGAAAGTAATTACAGCTACAACTTGGTTGAATTCACTGTGCATAGACAGAGGTCATCACAGCATTTATCTTTTTCACTAGCTTACATTTTGGTTTTGATTTTTATTTATATGATTCATTTTGCTTCATAAACTGTCTGAATATAAGCTGATAGAATCAATCTGTTTTATTTCCATCAAATCTTTTCCACTGTAAATATGGACTGTTTAATATCATAAAAATCTATGGTTTGTCTAAACTTGTCTTTTGGAACAGGACAATTGATGCTTTTATTTGAGTTTACAATGTTAGAGTGCTTAAAACTTGCTTTGTTTGGAGAAATTTAAGAAAAGCCTTTAATACTTTGATTTTTCTTTTTATTCATTCATCACATACTCTGCTGTTACAGTTTTTATCTTATGAGCTGGCATGTTAGCTGCCCAGTATTTTCCTGTAACATGGCTAATGGCTACTCAGCAACCAGGTTATATTGGATTTGTTTTAAATCTTTTACTGCAAATTTACCATCTGTGAACAATGTGTCTGGTATTCTTCTCTGTTGTACAAGACTTAACACACCTCAGTGGGATGCAGGGTTTGATTGGGTATAGTGTGGCTGTCCTTGCTTTTTGCCTATCTTGCCAGCCTCTCACTTCCTTCCCAGCTGAAAGAGAGTTAGTTCTATACTAATGGACTTAGATTTTGCTGATATTCTTTGGCAGTGAAACTGTTGTATAACTTAGTGACCAAAAAGCAGAATCATTGTCTTAAGAGTCTGGATAAATTTCAATGGTTGAAAATCAAATTGTACATTTAGTTAAGCCTTTTCAGTTAAGGATTAAGGTGGCCTTTACACTTACTAAGAAGCAATATTATGTGTCAGAATGCAATGGTACATTATTCAACTATGTACTGTCTTTTTGACATCCTGTCTATGACATACTTTGTTCTTTGATTATTCAAATGTGGATACCCGGGTTTGATGCTTTAAGATCTGCTCGTACTTTTAGCTATCTAGCATCAAGCTATGAGGCTGAAAGAAGTTTTGGGGCTGTTTTGTGATGTTTTTAATATTCTGTCTTGGCGCAGGAGTACAGCATTGTTATTGAGAAGCTCTCCAATGGGAAATGGGTCCCATTCGATGGAGATGACATTCAGCTGGAGTTTGTTAGAATTGACCCCTTTGTTAGAACTTACCTGAAGAGAAAAGGTGAGTAGAATCTGTACTGCTCATGACATGTTTAGCTGGTTTTGGCTTAAAGAACAGGAATAAAACAGAGTCCTACTTGTTCGATACTTGTACTCAATATCTAATCTTATACTGTAACTCTGAAAGTCAGGTAATAATATGTTAATGTTATTCTCATAGGGAAGAAATAATTTAGTGGCAATGGATAAAGGATTGAAGCTTAGCTCTTGGAGAAATTAAGCTATAAGTGTAAAATATTGAATGAGTTTCCATGAGTATAGATTGCATTGTTCTCAAAACAGAAATTCCTGGCATCTAAGGCCTTTATCACACTTTTAGGATCCCAAGACACAAATAGCAATTGACTCTGGGTTACCTCGCTGTCTCTCGTGAAAATACACATTCCTAGTTAAACATGTTTACGATGCTTTTGGGCGTTGGTTAAGTAGATCTGAACAAAGAACAAAAGACAAGTATGGCGCAGGAACAGGTCCTCCGGCCCTCCAAGCCTGCGCTGATCATCATGCCCTGACTAAACTAAAAAAACAAACCGTCTGCCCTTATTCAGTCCCTCTATTCCCTTCCTATTCATGTAACCATCCAGGTGCATCTTAAGTGTCACCAATGTGCCTGCTTCCACCACCTCTGGCAGTGCGTTTTAGGCTCCTACCACACTCTACGTGGAAAAACTTTCCTTGCATATCTCCCTTAAATTTTTGCCCTCTCTCCTTGAACCTGTGTCCCCTTGTAATTAAAACTTCAACCCTGGGAAAATGTTTCTGACTATCCACCCTATCTATGTGCCTCATTATTTTGTAGACCTCTATCAGGTCTCCTCTCAGCCGCTGTCTTTCCAGTGAAAACAATCCTAGTCTTTTTAACCTTTCCTTATAGCCAATCTGGTGTGGGAGAGGATGCCTTAATTTGCCTGGATGATGATGACAAAAGTGAAGAATCATTATCTGGGGGGAAAAAAATGAAAGAAATTGAAAATAGGTGATTACAAGAAATGTTTATCCAAACAATGTAAAAGAAAATTTGCATGAGAAATAACAGGATTTGATTTCAAGCAGGGACTCTGGTGCTAGGAACACTTCCCATTTCGGGTGTCAACATCATGCAGCATCACATTGCCACACACGGTTTGTAGGGGTCTCTGTCAGACAGTAGACTTATGTCCCATTAATCTAGATTAGGTGAAGGAATGCAAGGACAAAGAGACAAGAAATACACTGCTGCGAGTCACATAAAGTACTTTGTTTCTCTTATGTTTGCCTACCAGCTTTTGTTCTTATTTTTGTCCCTCTTACTGTTACATTTTAGAATGAATTTTATAGTATTGCTTATAGATTTTACCCTATTGTTCATCATGAGTGAAAATGTTCTTTAATCTATATGTCTTCTATTTCTTAGATGGTAAATACAGCGTGCAGTTCAAACTACCTGATGTTTACGGTGTGTTCCAGTTTAAAGTAGATTACAACAGACTTGGATACACTCATCTTTACTCTTCCACCCAGGTATGCATCAGGCTTGCACTTGAGCAGCAATATTGCTTGAAATTTAGTTGACTTTATTATGTATGAGATGTCTAAAAGGCTTGCAAGGATCAAAAATATTCAGCTGGTCTACGCTGTTTAATTGGAGAAGTTTTCCCTCGTTATTTTGACAAAGAATGATTTCTGTTGCTTATCCATTGCTAATCATTCCTATGAGAGGCAGCCTTTACCCACAACAAGAGACATAAGTTAGGAGAATGACAATGAATTAAGAGGGACAGATGAGATTAGGAAGTTACAAAGTGACATACATAGAATAAGTGAGTGAGAAAATCAAGTGGAGTTTGAAGCCAGCAGACATGAGATCGTAAACTTTGAATCTGAGCACCTTTTAATTACTTTAATTAACTTGCTCGGACATGTTATGGCGTGCCTCGAGGGAAGGTGGAACTTGAACCCACACATTCTGGCCAGAAATAGGGACATTACCAAGCGTCACAAGAGCCTTTATTTAAAGATGCCATCAGTTCAACAGATTGAGTGGTGTTACATTTCACTTGGAGTCCAAGTTGCTTTGACAACATGCATATTGTAGCTTAGAGCTATGGATAATGATGGTAGATAATCAACTTCTGGGAATCTCCCTCAGTCTAACTGCCTCCGTTTGCTGTGTGATGGAAAGATTACAAGTTGATATTCACTCAGTTTGGCCACATACAAAGGCATCTTCCTTATCATCAATTTCTGGGGTGACACTTGAACTCGGATATTGGGATGCTACCCATTATGTTCTGCGTAACATTCTGGTGCTCTTCTGATAACAATATCTCCAGTAGTCTTCTGTAGTGGAGGCATGGACTATGTGGAACGTGTTTGGGGTGTGGGATGTGTGGTGAATGGCTGAGTTAACAGATTTTTTTTCACAGGACAATTTAGAAACAAGCATAAAAATGATTGTTTTTATTAAAAATCTAAACCTAATCAAGTCTGTTTCTTTTTGTTCAAGGTGTCTGTTCGACCCCTCCAGCACACTCAGTATGAGCGTTTTATCCCATCTGCCTACCCATATTATGCCAGCACCTTCTCCATGATGGTTGGACTCTTCTTATTTTCAGTGGTCTTCTTGCACATGAAAGAAAAAGAGAAGGCAGAGTGAGCTCCGATTGTGGTGTGCTGTGTTCTTGGCCTAAGTAATGCTGAGAGTTTAAGTTGATTTGAATTGGTGATAGATGAGTGCAAATTCTAGTATTTTTTTATACGGGCCGCAGTAATTTCCTGACCCCATACATTCGAGGATGCAACAAAACTGCAAGTGACATTTGTCATTGATCCCTCCGTTGATCAGAGGTTAGCCATGTCCTGTAAGTTACAGAAAGTGGAGGTGTAACCATGATTTAATTTTTATTTTCTTCTTGGAAATGAATAAAGAGAAAATCTATTTAAAGTTGCTTGAGAAAGACACCTTCATCTTCCACTCATGATAAAGTCCACTGTTTCCTTGGCTGGGTCAGATGAAGGAAACTATTAGACTTCGATGGTGCTTCACTGAGTAATAGCTCCATGAGCACAAAAAACTGCAAGACTTTGCATTTGCCTATCACCGGTTCAAATCAAAAGAGTCTGAGTATTAACCACTTGGTTTCTCTTCAGAGAGATCTGCCCTTTGGCCAATAAGAGCTTACATTGAGTTGGGAGAAATTTATTTTCATCCATCTATTGTCAGTTGTTTAATTTAAAATGTTTCCTTCCAGTTTTCCAATTACTGCACCCAAATTGATGTAACTTCTGTTTAAAATTATTTTTCCACACCATTGGAAATAAAGTGTAACATTCCTTTTTTTTATTGTGGTTTCCATTTCTTTTAGCTCCCAAAGCTTTGTATGGTCAAATCAAGTTGTTTAAATTTTGTCTCACATGCCACGTACAAGGTAGAATCATGGTATCTGGCAAAATATGCCCCATTATTGCTAACAGTGGAGTCTAAAATGCCTACATTACAGTGCTTGTGGCTGGGAAAAAGGTGTATGATAACTATTCTGTACACCCTTTAGCTGGAGTGCAAACCTCATACTTCACCAAATGACCATTTTGTCAAGTATCTGCTGGATGGTGTGTTACCTGGCTGTTTTGGCAGTGCTTAAGGAAACAGCATTATAGCTGGGCTTCCTTTTGCCTATCTTTACTGTTAAGACCATTCAAATGGCTTCCTGCCATCTTGGCTGAGGATGCCTCTGCTCATAATGTTTCGATGCACTAGATGGTTTTCATTTTGATGTAACCTTCAAAAATATCAAATGCTGATGCATGAAAAATGCAATTACTATGAGTTATCCCAAACAAACTAAATATCAGGATCATGTAGCCATAACATACAAGGATGAATATTGATGATGATTTGGTTCAAAACAGTTTATGCTGTAGAGATTGTTTCATTTTGATTTCTAATGAACATGTCCTTTTAGCAAAAACAATATCCTGAAATAGGTATGCTTTAGACATGAGTGATAATCTTTCATTAGTGATTTAATAAGCTGTCAGAAAGATAAACAATGCTGTCCACTCAAAAATTTTAAACTCTAGTTCGGGTTTTGGAATATGGAGTGATTTCTAAAGGAAAGGATGTATTTTCCTAAAGCCACCATCAGTGGACCTAGACTGATGAGTTGTTGTATTTGTAATTATAATACAGTGGCTACCTTATAAGGATTTGCGGGTAGTATAAGGCAATGAATGTATTTCCTCATCAAGATGGCAGTGGGACAGCGACATGTACTCCTATTTTGCGGCTCGTTTTGCGACAGTGGCGGGGCTGGTTTGCGGCGATGCCGTAAGGCGGATGTGTGCGGTTTCGATCTGGTGTGTGGAGTGTTTGGTGGAGTCTCTGCTTTGGGTGATCGGGCCTTTGGTGTAATCGGCGATCGAGCGCCGTGTATTTGGTGCTGGTTCCCCGGTCCAGTTGTGTCCCTGCGTCCGGGTTTCGGTGCTCGGTAGCCGGTTGCCGCTATGTTGCTCACCGTTTACTGCGTGCGGCGCGACTTGAGCGAGATTACCTTCACCCTGCAGGTGAATGGCGGCATGCAGCTGGAGACTTTCCGGGCTCTCTGTGAAATGGAGAGCAATATCCCCGCGACCGAGAGCCAGGTGAGAGTATGAGGGACATGTACAGCCTTAAGTACACTGCCACACCCAGATATACATCTACTCCAGAATATACATACCAGCACCCAGCATTATTTGCAATTATTATCCGTTCTGGGACTATATACGCATAATTCTGCATATAACCACACCCCTATATACTGTGATATGAAGCTCTGCATCTGATTGTCAGTAGGAATACTTCTATTTGGACCCATCTTTGATTCTGGGTACATACACCCAAAGCATATCCGTACGTATCTGCATGCTATATAACACTTCCCTTTCCTACACACACTCCCCAAGATTTAGTCATAGCAAACAACTCAGCTGTCTAAAATCGAGTCTATATACTGGACTGAATTGTGAACGAAGCCATATACATCCAAAAGTACATAAACACATGGTAGTGGTGTGTTACACTTCACCCTAGGACGTTGAGTTTCCATGGTAATTTGCATCATGCATGTTGCAGTGTGGAACTAGGGATTGTGATGTTAGAGGCTACAACTTTCTTTCCTTCACAGGATTGACCAGAAGCCCCTCTTGCTCTTAGGGTCTTCTATTGGTGTGTGTGAGGTTGATAGTCAAGCTATTTGATTGTGTTATGAGTGCACCTATCTTGATCCTCAAGTATTGAAGTCGAGCTTGAGCTCAGAGGTAGGGATACTGCACCAAAAGACCTTAAATATAAGAAATGTGATAAGTTCCCAGTTAAAATTGTAGTTGCATTCCTAAAAAGTGCAACATTAAGTGAAATGATTTTAAATAAATCAGTTTTTCTTATAAAAGCCAATGCAAAAGTGTAGTCAGATTCTGTAGGAGTTTCATCAAAAATTGGAGGAGTTTATCATGCAAGTTGATATGCTTTACATTGTTAAATTCAGGTATTGGTAAATAGAATGAAGTTTTTGAAAAAGTGTTAAAATGCTTGGGAAATATGCTAACTTAACTGTTGTTTCTTCTGCTCGTTGCTTTATGTAGTCATGGATATGTTCAGCACGGAAACAGACCCTTTGGTCCAACTCATCCATGCTGACCAGATATCTTAAATTAATTTAGTCCCATTTGCCAGTATTTGACCTAAACCTTTCCTATTCATGTACCAATGCAGATGCCTTTTAAATGTTGTAATTGTACTAGCTTCCACCACCTCCTCTGGAACCTCATTTCATAAACGCACTACCCTCTGCCTGAAAAAGTTGTCTCTTAGGTCCCTTTCAAATCTTTCCCCCTTCATCTTAAACCTATGCCCTCTAGCTTTGGACTCCCTTACCCTGGGAAAAATACCTTGTCTATTTACCCTATCTATGCCACATGACTTCATAACCTCTGTAAAGTCACCCTCAGCCTCCAAAACTCCAGGGAAAACCCATTCTTCCCTGTTCACTACACCACCAATTTTGCTGTCATCTGCAAACTTGCTAACAATTTCTCCTATATTAACATCCAAATCATTTATATAAATGACAAAAAGCAGTCGATCCAGAACCAACGCTTGCGACATATCACTAGTCACAGGCCTACAGTCTGAAAAACGAGCTTCCACCTTCAAGCCAATTTTGTGTCCAAATGGCAAGCACGCCCTGGATTCCACCATGTGATCTAACCTTGCTAACCAGTCTCCCATGCAGAACCTTGTTGGATGCCTTGGTGAAGTCCGTAAAGACAAGTCCACTGCTCTGCCTTCATCAGTCTTCTTTGGCATTTCTTCAAAAAATTCAATCAAGTTAGTTAGACACAATTTCCTACACACACAGCCATGTTGACTATCCCTAATCAATTCTTGCCATTCCAAATACATGTAAACCCTGTCCCTCAGAATCACCTCCAACAACTTACCCACTCCTGATGCCAGGTTTATTGGTCCCTGGCTTTTCCTTATCACCTTTCTTAAATAATGGCACCACATTAACCACCGTCAAGTCTTCTGGCACCTCTCGTGTGGCTATTGACGATACAAATATCTCAGCAAGGGGCCCAGCAATCACTTCCCTAGCTTCCCACAAAGTTCTGGGATACCCCTCATCACGTCCCAGATATTTATCCACCTTTATCCATTTTAAAACGTCCAGCACATCCTCCTCTATAATGTGGAGACATTTCAAGCTTCCATATCCTTCTCCACAGTAAATACTGACATGAAATACTTGTTTAGTATCTCATCCATCTCCTGCATTTCTACATGTAGGCGACCTTGTTTTTTAAGAGGCTGTATTCTCTCCCTAGTTTTGCCTTCCATGTATTTGCGGAATCTCTTTGGATTCTCCTTAACCCTATTTGCCAGAGCGTTCTCACATCCAGTTTTTCCCTGTTGATTTCAATCGAGTATACTTCTACTATCAGAGTCATAGAGTTGTGCAGCATGGAAACAAACCCTTTGGTCCAACACGTCCATGCCGACCAGAGACCCTAAATTAATCTAGTCCAATTTGCCACCATTTGGCCATATTCTTCTAAACTTTTCCTATCCATGTACCCCTCCAGATGCTTTTAAATATTGTAATTGTAACAGCCTCCAAAACTTCCTTTGGCAACACATTCCATATATATATATATCACCCTCTGTGTGAAACGGTTGCCTTTTAGTGCCCTTTTAAATCTTTCCCCTCTCACCTTAAACCTATGTCCTCTAGTTTTGGACTCCCCTACCCGGGGAAAAGACTTTGGCTAATCATCTTATCCATGCCCCTCATGATTTTTTAAACCTCTATAAAGTCACCCCTCAGCCTCTGATGCTGCAGGGAATATAACCCCAGCCTATTCAGCGTATCTCTATAGCTCAAACCCTCCAACCCCGGCAACATTCTAGTCAATCTTTTTCGAATGCTTTTAAAACTCTCCGCATTCGTGGAGAGATTGAGAACCAGAGGCTACAACAGAACCCCAGAATTTTTTCCAATGGAATAAAGAGGCAAAAGACAGCTCATCATGTCTGCACTAGCTCTTCAAACAAGCACTTCGTGCCATTCCCCTTTTCTCTATAACCCTACACATTAATCCTTGCAAATAACAGTCTAATTATGAATTCACTGATTAATATTGACTCCACCAAACTCTTAGACGGTATATTTTGGAGACCACTGGCCATGACATTTTGTTTCTTTGTCACTCAGCCAGTCATGTATCTATGTTGCAACTGTCTCTTTTATTCTTTGAGCTCACTATAACTTTGTTAACAAAACTGGTGTAATACCTTATCAAGTAGGAAATACCTTGGAAGTCCATGTACATCACGTGAACAGCATTACTCTCACAAAAAAAACTCCAGCAAATTGGTTAAACCCTTATACTCCTTGAGGGATTCACTGGATCCCAGCAATCTATACATGTCATATGCCTCCTTCCTTCTTGCTGTATGAACCTCTCACTTGCCACCCATTCCTCCAGACCCTACTGCTCACCAACTCTGGTTGCAGTCTCTGCCCTTCTGTAACCTTTTTCTCACTGCAACCTCTACTGCTCTGTGAACCTCCCAGTCGTGGCAGAACCTTCCTTTCACCGAACCTTCTGCAGTCCAACTCTCTGCATGCCCCTCTCTCCAGAGCACTTGCTGTGAGTGATGGCTGTGGAAATAAGCTACAAGCTGGAGAAGTGGCAAGATGGTTTGTATGGGAGCAGTAGAGGCTTCGAAATTGAGGGTTGGAGGTGAGACAGAGGGTCAGGGAGTGGCAGAGGTTGCATATTGTAGGGCCACAGTGAACAGGAGGGTCAGCGAGTGCAGGGGCTGACGGTTAGCGGGGTGGCAGCAAGAGAGAGAGAAGCTACTCCAAATTGGTGCTGAATGGGTGATGGAGCCCTCCCTCAGACTCAGCACAAACTCTCTTTAAAACCACAATGTAAAATGAGAGTACGTTAACTGACCAACATTAAAACAAAGCAACTTTTAAAATGGGTATCTACTTTGTATGCATCCAAATGCACTGAATTCTACATCTGTCTATTTCCATATTGGCACCTGAATAGATGCCCACCAACCCAGATGTACACAGTCGGAACTAACTATGTACATCCATATCCTCAGCTGTGGAAGAGTGCACTGCAGTGGTAGTACCTATTTTTATTAATTGGTAAATATATACGCACATTCATTCGTACATGCCCAGATATCTGTAACAGGAATCTCACACAGTCTTGGATATAACTGCACCTTTCTGTATATACATCCTCAGATATGTTTTTTCACATTTTGTAAAGAGATACTGAAAGAAAACCGCCTGACTCCTCATTGGCCTGAGGATTTGCTGAGTAGTCAACATGTGATTGATTTCAAGAATGCTTAGCAATTACTTTGTGTCTGTAAAAATGAACTGCACTTCCACATTTTAATCTTTAATGAGATGTTGGCATAACTGATAAGAACAGCATTTTTAGCCCATCCCTTATTCCCATTTCAGAAGGCAGTTGAGGGATGACTGTATTGCCATGGTTCTGCATTACAAAGGCTACGATAGGTAAAGATGGCGGATTTCTTTCCTAGAAGAGTAGGAGGTGTTTTTTATTAAAGCAATGGTTGATGAAAGTTCCATGGTCATTTGAATTTAAATTCCACCAGCTGCCATTGTAGGATTTGAACCTCTGACTCAATGCAGGTATCTGTTAGTCCAGTGACATTGCCACTCTGTCACTGTCCTTTATCTGTGGTCTCTTTGTCGAGTTACACGCAAACATCCCACAACTTACTGACTGTTCCAGAAATATATTAGATCAATGGAAATGTGTTAGAACTTGTTATAATTGCAAATGCTAGCAACGATTGGGTTCAGATGGAGTTTGAATTACAACAGATTTCAACTAGTGAAGTTCTTTCATCAAAAGACAATTAGAGGTGATGAATTTGACACATTGTCAACCTTGGAACGAGATTTGATGACTTTGAAGGCAAAAATTATATACCTCAAATACTGCAGAGTTTACCGTATTATTCTGTCCAATTATTATAGTATTTAAATTTATTTACCTCACTGTAAATATACTTATTGTTCAATCGAATGGCCGCGTGAAATATTGACAGTTAATTCAATTTCAAGTCAATTGCTTCTCAAACACCATGATCCACCATGATGTCTGAGTAGTCAGTTGAGGGTGCGAGTGAGAAGGCTCTCTGCTGCTATGTTTTATTTAAGGCAAAGTTGCTTAAGGTGACTTATGCTTTAAGTAAAATATAACAGATAAGTCTTCACACTGCATTACATTTCTGTTACTTAATGTGTGTTTTTACATTGATTATGTGAACCTCTTGATCATCCAGGACGTTTGATCAACCTGGTCCCATAGATGCCAGTTAATAAAAAGTTTGCTGTAACATCTTTGTGCGCTGTATAGTATAACGCTTCTGCATATCTGAAACAATGTAACATCCAGCCCACCACGAGCAGTTTGATGAATTGCTGCAAATAATCAAATATATATTAGCAGAACTGTTGTGTTTTGATTTGATGGACGCTTTTTAGAATGTTGTACGTAATTTTAGTGTCACTGTTTTGCAGTGACTGAATTAGTCAAATATTGTGTGTCAAATCACCAAAGTGTGACAGGAACGTGGCTAATGTAGATAGGAACGTGCATTGACATGCACAAGATATTTCATATTAGAGTTATTTCCATCTAATTGTAATGTCAAATTCATCAACCAACAATAAGTAACAATTGAATGTGTTGATCTGATATCAATGAGCAAGCAAGGAAAAAAATCATTAATCATGTATTTTTAAAACAAGCCATAGATCAAAAATGGGCAGTGAGTACTTTAGAAATGAAGACACGTCACTTTGGCGTTCTGTACTGTAATTTGATTTTCATATTTTTTATTTTTCTTTAAATTTGCATCTGCATACCTTGAAAAATAATAACTAAACAGTGAGAAGCTGAACCAAATTACTCGATGTACATTATGAAATTGAAACAAGAATTGCTGGAGAAATTCAGCAGGCTGGCAGGATCTGTGGAGCGAAAGCGGAGTTAATGTTTCAAGTCCAGTGATTTTTCAGTTCGAAACATTAACCTTGCTTTCTTTTCACAGATGATATCATACCTGCAGAGTTTCTTAAGCAATTTCTGTTTTTGTTTCAGATTTCCAGCATCCCCAGTTCCTTGTTTTATTTTACATAATGAAGTTAGTTTGATTCACTAACTGAAAATTTATATTTTAAAAAAATGACCGTGAAATAATATTTTTTTGGCTAGTTTCTGGTAACAATTAATATATGGATCTGTTTCCATGTACAATTGTTTGTTTCAAAGATTTTAGTAATAAATAAAACTAAAGTACATGAAAAGATCTGTATGTCAGACAAGTAAAATGCTGTCCTTGAATACAGTAAACTATGTTTGTTTCCGAGCAAATGACTTGAGAAAATGTGGATTGTTATTCTTTGCCTTGCAAATATGAGAGTGGAGGAGTAGTGAATAAATTCATGTTTGCTTTAATAAACATACAGATCTTTTACATAATTAATATCAAGGAAAAGTCCAAAATTTTCATGTTTACACAGAGAAAAGTTATCTTCTAGGCTTCTAATGAACTAAGAGGGGGTTTGTTTCAAACGGCAATCGGTGAGATGTTTTGTGAATATTACCGAGACTCATTAAGGAAGATGCTAATGTGGTTTGTGAAGAGAGCTTGCTGTGGTTGACCTGGACAGTAGCTACTGGGCAGAATTGAGAAATTTATCAATAAGTTAGCAAAACTTGAAGTTCTAAGCAAGCTGTCCATATATTGAGTTTTAGGCTTACAGTACAGAGCAAGACAGCATAAAATCTTCCTTCTTCTTTGCCTGCTCACTGCCATAAATCTTTAGAGAACAGCTTCTTGGAGAGATGTCATCTGTATTTTACCAGAAACCAGTCAAAAAATATTTGTTTCACAGCCTCTAACAAACGTTTTGCCCTCAGGATGTCAATGGCTGTTGCAAGGCTGCAGTGATTGCTGATCTTTGGTTGCTGTAAGCATAGTGGGCCAGTGCCCTAAGTGTTCATGTACGCAACTGACAAGCTCTCTGGGTCATCCCAACAACATTAAACCATGAGCACGTAAATTGGGATTAAAGTTGCATAAAGAGCACATCCAGTAGATGGGCAGGTTGTGTACCCTGAAGGAATATCAAATTTTATACAAGTCTTGTGGTCGATGAATAATTTCCACCACAGTCTTTGAGACTGGCAAAGATGTACCAATGGCAGAATCGCTGTATGTTAGTCAAATCTGAGTGCTGTTTCTGTGTTAGATAATCTTTGCGGAGAGGCCATTGACTGATGATCGGCTGACACTGACAGCGTATGGATTGAAGGATGGTGATGTACTGGTATTGCGACAGTTGGAAAGACCTCCAATGCAGTCTAGTCTACCACTCCCAGGTGTATCAGGTGAGAGAACGTGTAGGAAAAGTTTGCCAATTGTTTCCATGAATTGATGGTGCCTACAAATCACATGTACAGACAATAGTAAAAATTCAGCTTTGTGACCTCCTAAACACTGGTGTGACAACGAAGGGAATTATATGTGTGATTATTCTTTTAAGATGGTTTTCATACAAGTGCTGCAAGATGTTAACTTATTAGTCATTCCTTTCCTGTATTCTACTTGCAAAACTGATGAGTTAGCATTAAAGGCATCACTGGTGGCCTTAGTAACCCTGGATGAGGGAGACAAAAATCAGTCAGTTTTCCTGCTCCTGAGTGTTATCATGTTGAAAACTAGATGTGCAAGTGTATGGATTTTTGATAAGGACAGAATTGGGCTCAGATGATGCATTCTCTTGTGCAGTAGCTTGTGGGATCATTATCCATAGTCATGCATAAAAAATGGAGTACTGGAGTGTTCAATATTTGTGGAATTGTGCTCTGCAGGGAGTCAATGCCTTCATTACAGGAGAGATTGTTTGCAAGAATTTGCAAAGGACAAAGGTCTATTGGGATGTTTTTTTAATTTTTTAAACGAGACTATGTTGAACATAATATATGACCTGGAATGGTCTATACCCATGCAGCAGTTGTTAGAGTTCATGCATTGTGTGCAACTTAATCGTGTCTTAAATAAAAACAGAAAATGCTGAAGAAACTCAGCAGATCTGTCAGTATATAGAGAGAAAATAGTTAATGTTTCAAGTGCAGTGACCGTTCATTATATCTCAGTTGGAAATATTTTTGAATGTTTTTGTATAAGTCAAAAGGAGGATCCAGTAGGTGGAACTATGCTAATACATACTATCAACAATGGCCCTATTGCCATAGAATATAACAGCACAGAAAGGTTTGATTCATCCCAATGCCATTGCTGGCTCTTTGAAAGAGCTGATCAATTAATCCTGCTCCTGCTTTTTTTCCCATAATGATACAATTTTTAAAATTCCTTCATGGGATGTGGATGTCGTTGATTGAATAGGCATTGATTGCCCATCTCTAATGGCTTGCTAGGCCATTTCAGCGGGCAGTTAGGAGACCACCATAACACTGTGGGTCTGGAGTAACATACCAAGACTGAGTAAAGACAGCAGATTTTCCTTCCTAACAGACATTAGTGAACTAAATAGATTTTTGCAACAATTGGCAATAGACTCCTGGCTACCTCTGTCAGGCTTTTTTAAATTCAAGATTTACTAATTGAATTCAAATGTAACCATCTGCCACTGGGTAGATTTGAACTCATGTACCCAGAGGATTTGCCTTGTTCTCTGGAGTACTAGTTCAGTGACATTAGCGCTTTGGCATTGCCTTTCCCTGCTTCATTTTCATGAATCTAATTCCTGCTTGAAAGTTACTACTGAATTTCCTTCCACAGTATCTTTGGGCAGTTCATTCCTGATCACAACAAGCAAAATCATACTGTTACCTTCCTCTGACTATTTTTCAAAACTATCTGATATCTGTCCCCTCTGGTTTTTAGCCCTCTAGCCAATGGAAACAGTTTCTCCCTATCTATGAAAACCCTTCTGTTGAAACTCTCTTTAACCTTCTCTGCTTTAAGGATAACAGTATCAACTTTTCCATCTCTCACCTAACTGAATCTCTTCATCTCTGGTGTCGTTCTAATAAATCATCTGCAAGCCCTCCATGATCACGACATCTTCTTGAGGTATTCCAGCTGAGGCTTAACCAATGAAACCTAACACAAATAAATTCCTTGCTTTTATACTCTTCTTTATAAAGCCAAGAATCCTACATGGTACAATGCATAAGGAATCATTCAAGCTGAAGAATGAAGATCCTACAAAAGGCATTTAACTTTCATCATTGCTCGTGACTGTGGTATAGTTTTCACTCTGCAATATGTTTTAGTTTAGCTTGCGAATAATCATTTAAAAAAAAAAATGTTATTCCAGAGGTTTGAGTGCTTTATAAGTGTTCTCTTGTCTCTTTCATTGCCTCTTGTTTTGATATGGGCACTGGCATAATGTGAGGTTGATGAATTGCCGTTGTATGTTTTAGTTTGATATTTCTTTCATCTCCTCCTTTAGGACTTCCCAGGATTGACTTCAGTGGTATCTCGGTGCCTGGGTCAATGGGGCACAGAATCCCTGCGTCTGGAGTAGCTAATCAGCAGCCACCAAAGCCAACTTCCAGTAGCTCTACTTCTCCTCCCCCTGTTCCAGCTCCACACAGTTTGGAAAATAATCCGACTTTACTAAGGGACATGCTTCTGGCTAATCCACATGAGCTATCGCTATTGAAGGAACGGAATCCTCCTTTAGCTGAGGCGCTTCTTAGTGGAGATCTTGGTAAGTATAGAAATTCTGATTTGTCATTTATGTTGGTCTCCCTTCATAGTTGTGCTGCTGTTTTCTACAGTTGCCTCTTTGTGAGGATTAAAATACTACACATAGAATTTGTTACAAGATAGCTGTATGAAATTTCATATTCAGCAGGCTGATAAAAGTTTCTCACTATGTAACTATGGATGTTTACTTATTAAACAGTGGTGATAATTAAAATGTTGGGAAATTGAATCCAGTAATTTTATTTAATATAATGAGTTAACAAATATTCGGTACCCAGCTAGAAAAAGACTTTCAGGCCCAGCTTTGATATGTAATCTGCATTAATTTCAGATAATTTCTGTAGTAAAGTTGTGTCTCCTCAAAATTGTAGTCCTGTAGCTGCTAAAGGACTCATTTAGCACAAGTTTTTCCTGGTTATAGAAGGGTGAGGGGTGTTTAAAAATCAGCAGAAATGCTGTACTGCTTATGGAAATATAAACATGGATGAGGTAAGGAAGATGAGCTTGTGATTTTTTTTATGTTCTGTCTGATAAATTAAGTTTTTGTGGGAATGGAATGAAGAAATGACACAGATGAAGAACAATTTCTTTTTCTTGTAAAATGCAATGGAAAACTGGAAAAGGAGAAGTTTGCATGATTTGATCTGTTATTTCTTTGTCTTATTATTCACCAGTTAAAATAAAACTCTGACCCATAACCAATGAGGAAGAGAAGTGACAATTTTAACAAGTTTAAGTCTTGGTTTATTAGTATCCCTTTTGCCTCTGAATCAGAAAGAAATTAGATTTCATAGACCATAGAAGGTCATAGAATCCCTACAGTGTGGAAACAGGCCCTTCGGCCAAAAGGATAACAGTGATTGAACAGTGAAACTCCAGAGATTTGAGCACATACTCTGAGCTGACACTTCAGTACAGCACTGAATGGTGTCTTGGAAGTGCTATCCTTCAGAAAAGGTGTCAAATCAAGACCTCCTCTTCCCTCTCAAATGGACCTAAAAGCTCCCAGGGTAGTGTTCCTAAATCAGGCAAGTCTCTCAATGTTATTATTGATATTTATCCCTAAAGGCTCAAAGCAAAAACAGATTATCTGGTCACTTATCTCATTGCTGATTGTAGGGCTTTGCTGTGCTCTAATTAATGGCTACCATTTCCCTCTCAGCATCCATTATAGCAGCATCTAGACTTCAAGAAATTCAGTGGCTGTAAAATATTTGCCCTATCCCAAGGATGTGAAAGACACTATCAAATTTGTTCTTTCTTCAATGGTCATGAAGTTGCATTATGGCTCCCAAGTGACCACTTGGATGAATAGCCAAAAGATAGTTAATGCCTATAGAACTGTACGCCGATGAAAATTCAGTTGCTTCAGATGTAGAGGGGAGGTCATTTGCTCAAGCATCCCAAGAATATTTTAGGCAAATTTGAACAATGCAGCATGGTAAAAAGTTGTATTAACAGCTTTCCTCACATCTCATTAGACAGGCAGAAAAGCTCCATGTTATTGATTAATGTTGAGCTAAGCAATCAATTGTTTGGCAATGATCATTATTACTCATTCATTGCTGTTACCTGTTATTTACTGTCTCAATAGTTAAGCATTTCTTTACACTTTGTGCTATCTCTGTATAGATAAGTTTACAAGCGTGCTACGAGAACAGCAACTGGAACGAGCTCGGCGAGAACAGGAGAGAATCCGACTTCTGAATGCTGATCCCTTTGACCTGGAGGCACAGGCCAAAATTGAAGAAGACATCAGGTAAAGAGCTGTCTCTGAATTTTCGTACTTAACATTTTATGTTAAGTCATTGTATGAAGCACTTTTAAGACATTTTGGTGCTGATAAGGTGCTCTGCTACAGGGATTTATTTTTCTTTATCCTTTCCTGTCTTTCTTACACTTAGAGTGTCTATAGTTGTCTGAATTGAGTTGTTCCTGACTGCTTATTTGTTTATTTAAAAATTTGGTGCCCTACGTTAGGAATGAGAAAATGAGTAGTATTCCTAGGAAGAATGAAAAGTAGGAGGGGTGATGGTACTGACTAAAGAGAAGTTGTGGTTCTGAAGAAAGAGGATGTCCCAGAGCAGTCAAGGACATAGTTGATTTAGGTTGAGCTAAGGAATTTTATAAAAAAGTGCATTTACATTGCTCTTTTGTTTGTAGGCCACAGCTAGTGGGAAATTACAGAGAGGTGCAAAAATTATACAGTAATTTAAATGGGGATTTTAATTATCCAAATATGGTTTTGGATAGTGGCAGTGTAAAGGGCAGAGGAAGGAGCAAGAATTACTGGAGTGCGTTCAGCAGAATTTTCTGCACTTCAACTCCAATGGATCTGGGTCGAATAAATTGGAGTTAGAGGTTGGCGGGAAGAATGGAAGATGAACTATAACCTTCAAAGAAGAAATGGTTCAGACATGGTCAAGTTTTATTCCTTCAAAAAGTAAAGATGGCAAACAAATCTCAAGCTCCCTGAATGACAAAAGAGGTATAAATTTTGATAAGTAAGAAACGGTGTGCTTGTGACAGATGTCAAGTAGAAAATTCAATTAAGAATCAGGTTCATAAAGAAGTTCATATCGATGTTGAAAGGCAAATAACAAAACTAAAGAGGAAGCATGAAAAGAGCTAATGTAAAAAGGGAATTGCAAAATTTTCTTTGGGAAATAAACAGTAAGCAGGTGGTAAAAGGCAGAATGGGGCTCATTAGAGACCAAAGAGATATTTTATAATTATATTTATATAATGGAGGCAGAGGGAATGGCTGGGGAAAGGTGCCAGCAGGAAGGTGCTGCCCAAGCCATGGTCAAAGAGGAGAGAATTCAGTTACTAAAGAGTTTAAAATTGATGCAGAGGAGGTAATGGATAGGCTTTTGTACTTAAATTTGACAAGGCACCGGGACTGGATGAGATGCATCCAAGTATACTGGTGGAAGTACAAATGGAAATTGCAATGGCACTGGCAATCATTTCTCAATCTTCAGACTTGGATGGTGTCCGAAAAGTGGACAGTTACAGACATTATATTCTTGTTCAGTAGAGGGTGCAAGGATGACTTAACAACCGTAGATCTGTCAGTTTAACTTTGGTGGTTAGAAAATATCTAGAAACAATATCTGCAACAAAATTAATAATCACCCAAACAAATGCAGGTTAATTAAGTACCAGCATGGATTTCTTAAGTGAAAACATGTTTAACTAACTTACTGGAGTTTTCTGATGGAGTTAGCAGTAAGTGTTGATCAGGGCAATGCTATTGGTGTGAACTTTTAGAAGGTATTTGATATAATGTCACACAACAGGCATGTGAGCAAACTCAGAGCTCATGGAATAAAAGGGACAGTGCCAACATGAATACAGAATTACCTGAGTGATAGGAAACAGTGTTATGGTTAATGGATGTTTTTATACCTACAGTAAGATTTGTTGTAGCCTTCATCAGTGGTCAGTATTGGGAATCTTGTTTTTCCTAGTATTAATAATCTGAACCTTATGGTACAGGATGATGTGAAAGTTGTAACCTGTGAGAAGAATAGTGTAGAACTTCATAAGGACACAGACAAATTGATGGAGTATCCCAGGCTTTGATAATAGGGACACAGAATACAAGATCAAGGAGGTTATGTTGAACTTGTATAAATTTGCTCAGAATATTGCATCTAGTTCAGGGCTGCACTTTAGGAAAGTTATGAAGGCTTTGGTGCGAGTGCAGAAGAGGTTTATGAGGTTTGTTCCAGGGTGAAGAATTTCTGTTGTGAACAAATTGAAGAAGCTAGACTGTTCTGCTTGGAGACAAGAAGGCTGAGAGGATTGAAGTATTCAAAATCATAAGTGATTGGGCAGAGTAAATGGGGAATAAAATGTTCCCACTTGAGAAAGGATCGAGAACAAGAGGACACAGATTTAAAATAATCAGCAGAAGAAGCAACAATGATGTGGAGGAAAAAATATTCACACATTTGAGTGGTTAAGATCTAGGCTGTGCAGCCTGAGAGTGTGGTGAAGGCAGGTTCAAAAGGAAATTAGATGGTTATTTGAAAAGGACGAGCATGCAAGTTTACGGGGCATTGGTAGGAGACTAACACTACGTAAGATGCTTATTTGGAGAGCTGGTGCAAACATAATAGGTCGAATGGCCTCCTTGTGCATTCCTACTCCTGAATGCTCCCTGCTGGTACAAATGTAATGTTGACCTGTAGAAAATTTTGGTTGTGATGCACTGTACAGTTGAATGGCCTGTCAACAGACTCTTGAGTTTCATAAGAATCATGGCTACTTGTGCAAAGTACCGCTTTTTTGACGAGAGATTGTGGAAACATACATTTTCAGAATGGATGAGAAGAAAATATTTCTGAAGTGTTCTTGTGTTCACAGAATTGTTAAGGTAATGTTATGTTGGTCCTGGAATTTAAGGAGTTTTTTAAATTACTTCTGCCACTATACCTTCTGTAAGTTTTGCTACTGCATTTGAGAAATATCTGGAGAGTTTTGTCCATGCACTACTCAATTTTTCTAACCCCTCTGCAATTAGTCATCCTTTGTTTGTAGATGTCAGTTTACCTGGGCAATCAGAATTGGAGACTGGATCAGCTTTTCTTTTCAGTCCCATCTGTTTCACAATACATGTTCTGATGTTATTGTTGGTTCTCAGTAATACTCAGCATATTCCCTGTCCTTTTGGAAATAACAGGTAGACACAGAAAAGGAGTGAAAAAGGGTAGCTTTGACAATGCAGTACTAACTTTAGGCATCTACCTCGTGATCTGTGCTAGTGAGTTTTGCTTGCTGACTGCATTGCTCTGACTTGTTGTGGTGCCTTATTCTGATGTTTTGTTAACGAATGCTTTTGTATTTCAGACAGCAGAACATTGAGGAGAACATGACAATTGCAATGGAAGAATCGCCAGAGAGCTTTGGTCAGGTGGCAATGCTCTATATTAATTGCAAGGTTAATGGCATGCCAGTCAAAGCCTTTGTAGATTCAGGTAGGTTTATATGTGCTCATACAAATAAGTTAAACATAGTTGCTAAGTTAGTTTGAAGCAATCATTGTAAAATCCTGGCAGCAGAAGATCAGGCCGAGTTGAGAAGTAAGCTGGGTGAATGTTCAGAGGAAAATATGTATTTGAACAATATCAGATGTACAGGATCCCTTTGTCTCTTTGACAGTACAGAGAAATCAAATTTTGAAATACTACGTTTGTTGTACATGTACAATGACCATTTGCAGTTATCCTCCGATACAGGGCATTAAATACACAATTACTGCTTTGTTCACACGTTCTCCAAATGCACATTAGTACACAGCCGTTAATACACAAAACTGCCCCTTACATGTGTTTTCGAGTTAACTGGGTCAGTTAGATCAGTTGGCTGGATAGCTGGTTTGCAATTCAGAGTGCCACCAACAGTGTGGGTTCAGTTACCATACCAGCTGATGTCGCCATGAAGTTCACACCTTCTCAATTTTGCACCTCACTTGAAGCATGGTGACCCAGCTTAAACTCTCAAATGGTTGTCCCTCTGTAATGAGAGAGCAGTCTTTTGACCCTTTTACCACTTGAAATAAACACTCCCAAGTGTTGAAGGAAATATTTAAATTGGACTGATCAAATTACCTTTAGGCATTTCAGTAAATGGAGCTGATCCTCTTTCAATTGGAGTTGTAAGCTAACGGCATAGTTGTGCATCTGAATATATTGATAAGTCTATACTGTTGCTGATACAGGAGCACAGATGACAATCATGAGCCAAGCATGTGCTGAGAGGTGCAACATCATGCGCTTGGTTGACAGGCGGTGGGCAGGAATTGCTAAAGGTGTTGGAACACAAAAAATCATTGGCAGAGTTCACTTGGGTAAGTAATTTCAGACTTCCATTACTACTGTTTTGGAAAGTAAAGCAGAATATCTGTAGTGCTATGAATTTTTAATGGTTGATAGAGATCTTAAGGATTTGTCTGCACATATAAATTAGCAATTTTGCAGAGCTAACAATGGTGAATAAGATGTGGTGATGTGATTTTAAGTTATTCTTCCCCCTCATTATCTTAAGGTAGCTTATTGGAGAAGATTTTATATTGTATCTCACTATTTCTGATCTGCAGTGATCTGATGTAGCATTCAACTATTTATAGTGACTTGGTCTCCATTCATGGGGCCAAACATTGGAAGAAGGATCATAACCCTACTTGAAACATTAGAACGAAAACTAACCAAAAATAGTGTGCTTGTCCAAGATAAAAATACTGTCAGCATACAAGAACTAAGAACATGAGTAGGGCATTTGACCCTTTGAACCTGCTCTTCCATTCAATGCAAAATATGGCTAAATCTCTATCTCAGTTTACCTTCCTACACTATCCTGCTATCCTATAATTTCCTATCAATCTATCAATCTGCATCTAGACAATACTGAACAACTGTGCATCCATGCCTTTCTTGTATTGCTAATCCCAAAGATACACAAATCTTTGACTGAAAAAACATCTCCTCCTTTAAGCTTTAAATAGCTGATCCCTTATTCTGAGGCTGTGAGCCCAAGTTCTGGGTTTCCAAGCCAGGAAAAACATTTTTCCAGCTTTATTCATGACTCATGGTTCTGGATGTGTGCCATTTAGAAGTTTCTCTTTGCTCTGGTTGTAAAGTTGGAGTACCTTCCAGTAGTTTCAGAACAGTGTTATCAGCAACTGCAGAAAGAAAGGACTCTGTGTCATTAGTCACAGAAAGGGAACCATGATCTAAGTTAAGAATTTGTGCACAAATGTTGGTAAAAGCCACAGGGTATTCAGTAGTTACTTGGTTTTGGTGTTCAGTTCATTCAGGTGGCTTTAGTTGATATATTGTTGTTACAGCCCAGGTACAGATTGAAGGTGATTTCCTCCCCTGCTCTTTCTCCCTCCTGGAAGACCAGCCAATGGATATGTTGCTTGGACTCGATATGCTCAAAAGGCACCAGGTAAGAAGCCAACAGCAATTCCAGATAGTGGAGCCAAACTCATTGAGGTGAGGGTAACACAGTTCAAAATTGGGAGCTGATATCGTATGAACTGTCAGCATTGTTTCTGATCTAGCTAGGCCATTAACCCATGAGTACAACTTGCACTTCAGTATTGTAAATTGCTTCAAAACTCTTAATTAAACAAATTTTATTTGTAATTCAAACTGAAAGAACTGCGGATGCTGGAAATCAGAAACAAAAATAGAAATTGCTGGAACAGCTCAGCAGTTCTGGCAGCATCTGTGAAGAGAAATCAGAGTTAACGTTTTGGGTCCAGTGACCCTTCCTCATTGGAACTAAAGCATTAACTCTGATTTCTCTCCAAAGATGCTGCCAGATCTGCTGAGCTTTTTCAGCAATTTCTGTTTTTATTTGTAATTCGCTTGTTCCTGGTATCAAAGTCAACAACACAGTCCTGCTTTGAGCTTCCAGCAGAAACTTGTTGGATGGTTAAAACTGCCTTCAGATGTACCTATCAAATTCTCACTTTATTATCCCATGATCCTTCCAGAACATCATCTGCAAATTGGTGGGATCTAATAACTTTGTCACTTTCACCAGTGAGCAATTGTGGATTTCTCACTTGATCAATCTAGCAGACCAAAAGAATCTTGGGCCAGTTTACTGCACTCCTTTGGGTCTCACAAAGAAAGTTTAGGCATTTCCTGCCAAAGCTCTCCTCCAGACCTCCCTATTCCAACGCCAAGCCTTAGGCCCTCCAGCATCCCCACCCTGTAAATGACATGAGTTATGGGTACTCTTTTTTTTTTAGTTCTGGGTTGTGGTGACCTGTTGCTTCTCCTTGACATTGTGTTCCCACCCTCTGACCATCTGTTGACAGACAGTTTTACGCAGGAGCCTGACTCGCAGGTGAGGCAAGCCCCCATTGCTGAGATTGTGTTGATTTACCGACTGCCTTGGGACACACTGCCATGAGTTAAGATCAGAGCTTTGGTATCCAAGCTAACAGGTTTTGTGGGTAGAACTTAGGAATAAAAGGAGAGCAGTCACATTGCTGGGACTGTATTACAGGTCTCCAACTAGTTGGTGGGCAAGATAGGAGCAGATATGGAGATAGCTTACTGAGGTGTTTAAGAGGAATAGGGTGATAAGATCAGATCGAAACTCTGCAGTCCTGCCATGTCCACTTGTGAATGGTGGTGGACAACTAAATAACTCACTAGAGGAGGAGGCTGCAAAAATACACCCGTCCTCAATGATGGAAGAGCCCAGCCCGTCAATCCTAAAGATAAAGCTGAAGCATTTGCAGCAATCTTCAGCCAGAAGTGGCAAGTCGATGATCCATCTCGGCCTCCTCCAGTCACCCCAGACTTTGCAGATAGCAGTCTTCAGCCAATTTGATTCACTGCATCTGATATCAAGAAACTGTTGGAGGCACTGAATAGTGCAAAGACTATGGGCTGTGACAACATACTGCCAATAGTAGTCATGTGCTCCAGAGCTTGCCACTGCCCAAGCCAAGATCTTCCAGTACAGTTGTAACACTGGCAACTACCCAATAATGTGGAAATTTGCCCAGGCATAACCCGTACACAAAAAGCAGGACAAGTCCAACCTGGACAATTAGCGCTCCATCAGTCTAGTCTTGATCATCAGTAAAGTAATGGAAAATGTCATCAGTAAGTGCTATTAGGAAAACCTATTCAGCATTAACTTGCTCAGTGATGCCCAGTTTGGGTTCTGCCAGGGCCACTCAGCTCCTGTCCTCTATACAGCCTTGGCCTAAACATGGACAAGAGAGCTGAGTTCCAGAGGTGAGAGTGACAGCCCTTGACATCAAGGCTGCATTCGACCAAGTATGGCATCAAGAAGCTCTAGCAAAACTGGAATCAAGTATCGGGGGCAAACCCTGCACTGGTTGGAGTCATACCTGGCACATAGGAAGATAGTTGTGATTGTCAGAGTTCAGTCATCTCAGCTGCAGAAAATAGCTGCACGAGTTCTTCAGGGTAGTGTCTAAGGCACAAGCATCAGTGATCTTCTCTCCATCATAAGGTCAGAAATAGGGATGTTTGCTGATGATTTT